GGTTTAGGGTTCAGGGTTTGATGGAACTTCCAAGCCAGGGTGGTGAATGAGCTGCAGTGAAACACCACCATGCCAACAAAGGGTAGAGGGGGATTTCCAAATCATTGGCCCCTTGCTTAGGAGCCCCCCAGAATAAGGACTGGAGCCTGAGGCATCGCCCGTTGCCTCATATATTGGGGACAATATTGGACCGCTATTTAAGACATGTATGGGAGCTATTGGATCAGCAACAAAAACAAGAAACGTGAAGTGAGTAATACTATAATTACTACGAGGGCTTTTCCTCTTATTACTATGATGATTATTGTGAATTTGATGATGAGGATGTTGACTATTCTCATTATTGTTATCCTTTTTATGAACCCCCGAGCCTGAAATAGTGGTATACTAGAAGTTTAATAGGACCCTCATATAATCCTTATTATCCCTTATAGCCACTATTACAGGGTGGGGGTGCGCCTAATCAGCATTGTTATTTTTATTCAGAGTTCCCCTGGTTTGTTCCCATGCATGCTGACATGACAGGGAAAATAATGTGAGTCTCAAGCCATCTAAGCTGTAGTCTGAACTCCCTAAAGGGGATGCTAGGACAACCCCTAAACCCTAAACTCTGAACCCTGCTGGGGGTTATGGCTCATCTGAGGATGGCTTGAGAGCAGCGGTGCTTGCTGCAACCCCTGAAACTGCCCGAGCAATCGAGAAGCCTCAGGCTGCACATTCTCAGCGGATACATCTTTCACTGGGGCGGCACTGTTGTTGGCTGGTGGCAGTCTAGTTTGCATTGGAATGCCTGATGCAAGTTTTCCCTAAGCCCTAAACTCCTAAGCTCTAAGCTCTTCGAGCAAACAGGTTTTCAAGTATGGTCGACAGCCGGAGCAAACGGCTGATCTTTGGTTGCCTGCAGGGCAGGCACCCAAGGGAGTTGTCGTGCTGCTGCATGGTGGTTTCTGGCTGGTGCAGTATGGTGCCTCGGTGAGCTTCAGCACAGCCTCCTGCAGCCAGCTGTAGCTGTAATTTATGCAGTCGTAAGTTGCCTCGAAAGCCTTCGCCAGGCAAAGAGCTCATGAACGACTTGGCGCGCGATGTTGTCCAAAGAGGCTACGCCGCGCTGAATTTGGAGTACCGGCGAATTGGGAGTCCTACGTGGAAGGTGCACTGGGCCGAAAGCAGAAGGCATGCTGCCTCACCGTGGCTGAGCTTTGTACCAAAAAGTCAGGATGCCAACAGCACCTTGAGCGACGTTTCCGCTGGGCTGGGGCTGCTGCAGTCGGGAAAGCTGCCTGGCATCTGGATGCAGAGCACTGCGGCAAGTAGGCGCTGAGAACGCTGATTATCTAGGCTGTCCCTCGACGGCCTTCCGGTCGCTTTGGTGGGCCACTCCGCAGGCACGGCATGGAGCCACATTCAGCTACTATGCACTGACCATTCCCTGCATGCCCCTGCTTGGCAGCAGGTGGCCATCTAGCGCTGTGGTCTCAATTGCAGACACTAGACTCCACACCAGCGGCAGCGGTTGTGTCCAACGGCGGTGTGCTGGACCTGTGTTATGCAGACAGTGAGGAGTTGGGAGGTTGGGCCATTGCCTGCCAAAATGCCCTGTTTGAAGCAGCACGGTTTCCCTGATCACCGGGGATGATCTTGCTCCTTTTGCTTGCTTTCCTTCTGTGCTTGTGAGGTGGAGCAGGTGCTGTCCAACGATTCTTGAGCTTCCGCGAGGTAGCAAATCTGCGGCTGCCCGGCTGCATCCAGAAATTTGTAGTCCCTCTTAAGTAGATAGAATATGGCTTTGGGTATATTATACTCACATTCCCATACACCCCATATTCTACCTACTACAGGGGGACTCTAACCCAGCTTGCAGCAGAAATTGCACCGACAGCTTTCAGGGCAGCTTAGGAGGGAAGTTTCCCCCATTGATATGCTGCCGCCCTGCCGCGTGAATTCCTTGCAAGGCACAGAACGTGTAAAACATCAGGGATAACAATGAAAGTTTAGGGTTTAGGGTTTAGGGTTAATTAATATCAGGGATAATACCCCAATAGTGGAAAATCAAATGGATAAGAAAATGGAAAATGAAATGGAAACTGGGTGTATGGTGGTTATATGGTAGTTTCCCAGAATAAGGGAATCCCAACATAGACCCCCAAAATACTATAGTCCTTATTATTGGGACCACCAAGATGGTATCCCCAATTTTGGGAAACCCCTATATCAGCATTTCCGAGCGCCCAATGAGAAGCGCTGAAGAGTGAAGAGGTTTGGACATGTTTACATACTGTGGACAAATCCGGGTGTTCGCTTGTGGAGGCAGCGACGCCCAAAGAGGCGTTGCCCCCAGGGCACGCATAGGCTGGGCTGGCCTACATGCGCACAGTGTTGTGTTATTGCGAGGTAATCTGAGCAAGGAGATGAATGACGTGAACCAGAATCCTAGACTTCTTGAATTCAATCGTGATCAAGTTGGACAGGCCTCATACATGGGTCGCTGGATGAGGTGGTGCCGCCCGAGCAGTCCATCCGGTTTCTGGCTCCTTGGAGCGATGTCATGTGTGTCATGCTGCTGAAGCGTTTGTGTTGTTTCAGGTTCGAGATGGTTCAGTGTCTAGTGTCTTGGGTTTGTGCGGCGGCTTGTCTTTGATTTGGGTAGATAATACGAAGACATATGCAAACTCCGTCAAGAAACTGACTCGGCCCCTTGAGTGGAACTCACCGCCTCCACCCAGATAGCAGAAAAGGTCTCAGCCACCTGCGCTGGCATTCCATGCGAGCTTCACCTTATCAAGCAAGAGGGCCACTACGAGGCCCGTGGAGCTCACAATAATGGAGAATCAAATGGAAAAGAAAATGGAAAATGAAATGGAAACCCTAAATCCCTTTAAGGGCTATATAGGGATGTTACTCCCCATAATGGAGAATCAAATGGAGAAGAAAATGGAAAATGAAATGGAAACTGGGATCAGCAGCAGTAGCAACAACAGCAGCAACAGCAGGCAGGAAGGACAACTGCACTGGATCAGTTCTCTTGTCCAAAATTCCGAGTGGTAGCCTTACCCTAAATCTTAAACAGTAGTTTCCATTCTCTTGTCCATCATCCTTGTATTGTGTTTTTCCCCCTTTGCTATAACCTAGGTTATGTGAGGTAGGCTTCAGTTTTAGGTCTACTTTTGCTGGGGCAACGGCAGCAGGGTTGAGGACTGAGCCTTGCAGGTGCTCAATCCTTAGTAATCGTAATCGTAATGGAATTTTGTACCTTGAGCTCAAGGGTTGATATGGGCTCGGTTCCCTCTTATCAATGGATCTCGCGAGGTCCAGAGTGCCTTCCGGGCGCCTCCACGCCGCGTGCTGCGCGGGGCGATGGCGGCCACGCTGCGTGAGGAGCTGCGCGGGGTTCCCAGTCACAGCTCTTGGGCTGGATGCAGGGTCAGAAACCCTTAATTTTTTGTATCCACCGCCCCGCAATTACTATTGCTGTTGTTATTTATGCGCGGATTGTAGTAGCTGCAGCGGGTCTTGCATCAGATCCTATGATGCGTATGGCTTCAGCGATTCATCTTCGCCCCCAGGTGATGAGACAGTCATTCGAAGTCGGCTTCAAGAAGAAGCTGCGTGACGGTCGGGCGAGTTGAAACACGGGGTTCTGTTCCATAGCATCACGCCATTCCGCTGTGTTGTTGAATCATACAGTCAGGTTTGTGCATACACCCCTAATTTTAGGAAGCCCTGAACCCTAAACCTTATATATCCTTATAGAACCCCTATGTCACCCATTGAAAGGTACCCCTAATTGACCATGACGGTCAAAGTAAATTGCTAGAGGTCTAACAGAGACGGGATCCACATGCCACGCGTTTGTCCCTACTGTTGATATTCACGCTAAGGTGGCCACAGCACCTGATTCCCCATCCCCTCGCCGGTCAAAGCACAATCTAGGCCGTCTGATGATATTTATAATGTACTATTCTAAATTGATATTTTATAATGTACGATACTATATTATTTTATGTTGTACTATACTATGATGTGCAATAATATGCTCTACTCTATGAAGTGAATCTTCTGATGGGTTCATCTTCGATATGTGGCAAATGAGGAGGCCAGACTGCTGCTGCCATATAAAAGTCAGACCAAGAGGCGGGTGTCAAAAGTGCCAAGAGTGACATGCCTAAACCCTAAACCCCTAACCCCCAGCACCTATGGGGGGTCGGGGTCGCCATGCTTCTGGCTGTTGTCGTTTTTGTGCCATTGTCCTAGCGACTGTCCTAGTCGTACTAGTACTAGTACGAGTACTAGTACTAGCACTAGTAATAGTGATTGCAATGCTAAACGTGTCTGGAGGAGCTCCGTGGAGTATCTTGA